GGACTTGGTCCAGCCAGTGGGATGGAAATGGATCTTTTGGACATTGCTAATCTCTGGTTGCTTCTCCATACTCTGGCTCCTCAGCTCTTTCATCACCTGTATAACCAACTGGAATAGATTGTCTTCCTGACCAGACCCTCACACAGGGTGGGCAGACCCATTGTATGGAGTGAACGTTTTTTTATTATAAATCATACAGTAGCCAATACCCTCGAAGTGAAATCTTGGTCTCTAACTATCCATTTCCTCTGCACAAATTTCTAGAAAATTACACAAAACATCCTTTTGTTGTATATTGCCTGTTTCCCCCTAAATGGTTGTACCAGTTAGCACTTGCAACAAGAATGTATGGGATGCTTCCATAATTTCACTGTCAATCAGGGAGGGCCATGTCAGTGGGTGTCAGTGGGGTCTTGTGAGGAATGGATTGCCCAGGTCTGTATTTTGTTTATTGGAGAGAGAGGAAAGGTAAGGAGAGAATAGACGCGCATGTTTTTTAGATGTTCACGTAAGTAAGGGCTTTATATCCTGAATGTGAATCACATGCCTACAGAGACCAGCCACAGGCCCCTGAAGGCTCTGCTAATATCTCGGCCAAACTCCCTAAACAGTATTCTGCTGCACCAGTCATGGTTCTTCACCGATGCTTGAAAGTTATAGGCTCAAAAACGGCCTAGGAAAGGTCATCTATCTTCCAGTTCCATTGGAACGGAGTTTCTGAGAAGAGAAATATCTGGGGTCAAGACCAAGTCTTGGCCACATGCCTGTCAAGCAAGCACATACAGTCAAAATCAAGATACTCATTAATTACTCACACCAGTTAGAACATCCTCATATGCCCAACAGATGAGTACATTCTTCAAAATTCTCAGGAATCACACACTGAATATTTTGAAAAATGTTAAAATTTATTAATAGTTAACATCACATAGTTAATTCAACTAGTTCCTTATTATACATGACAACATCTTTACTAGACTGAGTGCTCAATAATTTGAGATTCAACACATCCCGGTCAAAGATTGAGATTCACCATATTTACATCAGGCAAAGCAGCATCAGCAAGGAACTGTCACCTAACTGTGGGAACACAAACATTCAAAATGCATATTCCAGCATTCCTTTTTGGAAACCAACAACACATGTGTAATAGCCACACACACAGCTCTACCTTTAAAAAAGGTGCAATTTCATACACAGTGCCTAATTTTCAAGTTTAAAAGTTAAAAATCATCTCTACTTCTTGGGCATTCTTTAGTGATACACAAACTTAAACATTGTTCTCAGTACAAGTGTGAGAGATGTGCAAAAACTGGGTGCTACTGAGTCGTGTCTTTCCTTCCTTGTTTTGATCCTTGATTCCTACTCAATAGTGTTATGGGGCCATTCCCTCTTTACCATGTAGTTGCAGTGTGTGTGGGTGCATATTTTAGGGAAGAAATGGGCTTTTGGACTCAGAATTAACTGCACTCCTGAAAAGTAAGAGTATACAAGATTTTATGCCACCCCACTCCCCCCAACCACACCAACAGTTTGAAATAAATATTTTGTATAAAAACAGCTCAGCCTAGAGAAGCCCTTGGACGATGCCTCTCATAAAACATTTATGAAACAAACCGATTTTGCTAGGAGGGCACAAATCCACCAAAAAGTGTTGTCCCTGAGGTTTTCTTTGTTTGATTGTTTCATTGTTCAGTTTTGGTTTGCTATTAACAGATACTTTTTTTTAAATGTTTTTGGTGGCTTCCTTTATCTTCTTGGAGAGCTTAAAAAATACTACTGACTGCCCTAAGAATGACAATTCCTAAGCAGTGAGTCTGTCTGAAATGATTCCTGTTTCCTTTGGTTAAGAGCCTGGGTAATATTGCCCCAGGAAGGTCTAGACAGAGCAGCCAGTCACTATGGTTTTTTTCAGTCCATAGACCCAGCTTCCCTCACTGTTCCCTGCCTTCCACGTTTCTGAGTCTGCAGGTTAAAAAGGAGCCGGGAAGGAGCTACTTGGCCATTCACTCACCTTGAAGAGGCTTCCCTTCTCTTCCCGCAGGCGAATGAGGTATTTCTAGTAACCTGTCAGTATCTTCACCTTCCATCCTGAAATTACGCTCATCTACTACAGAGGCCAAGTCTGAAGACACCCTGTGTATTTATACACATAACAAATTGACATATAAATACATTACATACAGCCCATCGTTACATACAGTGTCAAGATAAAGGAGCAGATGTACTTCATGAAGTAAATAAATTTCAAACATAAATTAAAATGAAAGTAGGGTTGTTTCCACTTCTGCAGGAAAAATTTTAAAAACAGACCAAAAAAGTCTCCCCATCCCCCCAAAGGTCCATTGCTCATGGATGACTCAGGAACCCACAAGGAGATAAGACAAGCCCACTTGCAGGATGTGTCAACTCATGGCTTTGATTTTGCTTGCTCAGATTCGGGATGCTTTAATTCCAGGAAGAGCATCGCTGGAACCCATCAGGCTTGAAAAGTGAGGTTAAAGAGGGGCCATCACATGGCTATCCATGGATTTCCCTCCATCGCTGCCTCTTCTCCCACCCTGCCACTTCTGCCTGTGGAGGATCAGGCTCAAGTTATTGGAGATCCCCACAGATCTCAGAGCAGAAACGACATCCACCTCCATACTGGGGAATGCTCTTTACCTAGAAATGTCACGTTCAGGGTCCATGGTGAAGCAACCGTATCTTTTCATTAGTGTCCCCATTCTGTCAGATTATACAGGGACATGGAATTTGGCCAGGGGGATTACTAAAGGTTAAAATTTGCCTTCTTAAGTTTTCAAAGAACCAATAGGAAGAGTTGTGACAAGTATGAACAAGTCCTTACTTCAAAACCTATTTATCTCAGGAGGGCTAAGTCTTGGGTGCTGAACTCTGCAGTGAGTACACATAGAGACAACACCCAGTCCGACGGGTCTTCCTCTGCCAAAGAAAACCCAAGGGGGTCTGTCTCTGACACAGGGGATGACATCTTATAATTTAAAGGAGGGAAAAGAGGGAACTCCAGGAAGTCCCTTCCAATTTCAGGGACTCTATCGCTGTCCAGCCTCACGGATGCGGCAGGCCACAGCAGTGATGAGAGCTGCCCCCTTCCCGCTGCCATCCTCTGACTCCAGGAAGGACACATCACATTTCGGAGCCAGGTCTTTCACCGTCTCATGCATGACTTTGGCAAAGCTGTAAACGTGGGGAGGAAGACACAGGAAAAAAAAACTTCCTTAGTCATGATTGATTTGTGTCCTCAGAGATGAGACCCTAAGAAGTTATGCTGGAAACCCAAGAATTATTAAGATGAGCAAGAGGACGACAGCTACCATGTATTAAACACTCTGTATTGTGTATCTGAAAACCAAGGCTTGTGAAGGCTGGCAACATGCCCAAATTCTATGTCATAGCAGGCAAGTGGGGAGCAGAGATCCTTGTAAGACAATCATCGGAGATTCTGGAAGCTGTGTTCTTGAAAGTAATCAGGGGCACCTGGGGGCTCAGTCGGTTAAGCATCCGACTTCGGCTCAGGTCATGATTTCGAGGTTTGTGAGCTCAAACCCCGCATCGGGCTCCGTGCTGACAGCTCAGAGCCTGGAGCCTGCTTTGGATTCTGTGTGTGTCTCTCTCTCTGCCCCTCCCCCGCTCACATACTGTCTCTCTCCCTCCTTCAAAAAATAAACATTAAAAAGATTTTATATGCTAATTTGGATGTAAATTTTTACAAATAAAAAATAAAATAAAAAAAATTAAAAACACAATAAATAAAAATAAATTTAAATTAAAAAAAAAGTAATCAGTGGAAGAGAAGTTCAACAGTCATAGGCATCACAAGTATACCCTGCAGAAGGGCATATCTTGTCCCTATATTCTGGAAGATAAAGCCCCATGCACTTGATACTTCATTTTCCAGGGGTATGGACTCACATCAGATCCACATGTAATCCAAAATGACACTAAAGATAAAAGGAGCAGGTTCATGGGTGGCTGTAGGCCCATTACGGTGATCACAGAGCCTTTCAATATGGGACTAGAGAAAGAGATGGTCACCATGTACCCCAACATAGCAGGGTCAGGAAGACCTCCTCATCTATGAAGCAAGCCTCAGTGCCAGTGGCTTGGCTTCTGTCCCCCTCCCAACTCTCCTCTGGGACCAAGATTCCTACTCTTCAGTGACATTGACCATCAAGACAAGGGACGTGCGACCTCTCAAGTTTCCCTCTTTTAACTATCTGTGTAGTCTCTCAACTCCTCGAGAAACAGTCATGCTGCGAGCAGACAACATTTCAATAGAGGTGTCTCTCTTTCCTCACTCTGCCTCACCTACTGCCCAGACCAGGGTAACAGCTCTGTTCTTTTAACTTTGAGCTAAAAAGCTTGTAGGGGGGAGGGGCGGGGGGAAGGGATTGGGGTACTTCCTAAATTAAAAATGATTCATTCAAAACAAATGCAAATGAGTGAAGAAGGGAGAGGAACAATGGCTGATGAGAGAAGAAGAGAGATGGAGAAACAGGAAAAAGCGTAGAAAGAAAAGAAAATTCAGTGCTTCCACATTGGGGGAGTTTGAAGGACACGCTTTATAAAAAGGGCCAGACAGGGGAGGCTGGGTAGCTCAGTCAGTTGAACTATCCAGACTCTTGATTTCAGCTCAGGTCGTGATCCCAGGGTCCTGAGATCGAGCCCTGCCAAGAGCTCTACACTGAGTGCGGAGCCTGTTTTGAGATTCTCTCTCTCTCCCTCTGCCCCTCCCCCATGCTATGCTTGTGCATGCTCTCTCTCTCTCTCTCTCTCTCTCTAAAAAAAAAAAGAAAAATTTAAGGGCAAGACAGTAGATCCACTTTCAGCTTTGTGGTAACTACTCTGCCAGTGTAGAGTGAAAGCAGCCAGAGACAACATATACATGAGTGGGCATGGCTCATGTTTACAAAAACAGTCATGGCTATAATCTACCAGCCCCCACACCAAACTGCAGAAAATATCTCGCTCCAGAGTTCCCCTACATTTCCTAGAATGTTCACAGGAGCAGTGTTTGTAACAGACAAAATCTAGAAATAACCCAATATCCATTAGCAGAACAGTAAACTATAGTACACTCATTCAAAGGTATGCTACGCAGCCCTGAAAATTAATGAACTGCAATTGCATTCTTCCATGTGGATGCGTCTCAAAGCTATAAATGCTGTGTGGGGAAAGCCAGTCACAAAAGAGGAGATGCCATAGGACTCCCCTTATGGCAGGTTCAAAATTAAGTAAAACGGAACCCTAGCGATGCATACACAGATAAGCAGGGAAAGGAAGCAAGGGACTAAGTCACCAGAGTACCTTCCCTGGCAGGGGACAGGGGCATAGCGCCTGAGTCTTCCAAGCTGGGTGGTAAAACACAGACCTACTTCTGGCTCTTAACCTTTAAAGTAAAGCATATATATTATAGACACTCATTTGGAATGTCAGGTGCTTTGCTATAAACTAAGAAGAGAGAGGAAGGGAGGAAAAGCAAGGAAAGAACAGATGGAGAAAGAAAGTTGGACAAGGAGAGTGGAGGTCAGGCACTCACTGAGGATGTAGCTTGTAGAGGGTCCCATCCACGCCAACTGTCACTTTGAGGGTGTCCAACCCACGGTTTTCTCGTATTTTGTCCACCACGGCGGCCATGCCCGCACCACAGAGCTGGGCCGCCCGCCGTGCCACGACCGTGCACACCTCTTTGACGATGATGCTGTCGTCACAGGTGCTCTCGAGCCCCAGGTGGTGCAGGATGGCTCGGACTTGCAGCAGGGCTAGGCAGTCACTGGGGGGGCAGACAGACAGGGAGTGGTCAGTCACATACACCAGGGGCTGGTGGCCCACCCACCACTCCAGGGGACTGGTCATGTAGGAGCTCCCTGAGAGGCAGATCCTGTTCTTGAACTCAGTTCAGGAACCCATGCTCATCCCACTGGACCACACGGAGCCCACCTGAGTGTGACGTGGGGAAAGAAACGTGTGGGGTTCTTATTCAGTTTGCCCAGGCGTAGGCTAGCACCGCTACTCAGTACAAATCAAGTACTCAAGAAAAGGAAATTCACCATCTACGTATTCCACTCATTTGGAAAGAATACAGTGACAAGGCTTGTAGTTGGCATTTTCAGCTCTTTCTTATCCATTTTCTTATTGCTGTTCACAGGTCAGCAGGACAAGCACACCGCCAGATCCTGTTCTACCCTGCCTCGCACTGTGGTCTATTAACCATCAAGGGCTCAGGAAACAACAACAATTGTAGCTGAAATAGATATTATATAGAGGGAGCTGTTTTAGAACCCTGGAATCAGCTTCCTGCACACAGACAGACATGCACACTAGAACATATTCTTTCTATTCACTGGTGCAGATGTCCTGGGGCCCCACTCATGCCAGTCATCCAGTTCCTGTTTTCCCATACACCTGACAGTAATGCATAGCATTAATTATTAAAGGCCCAGCCTTCCATCTGTGTCTCCCTCTCTCTCTGCCCCTCCCCCTGCTCATGCTCTGTCTCTGTCCCAAAAAATAAATAAAAAACGTTAAAAAAAAAAAATTAAAAATAAATAAATAAATAAATAAATAAAGGGCTCCGAAATTCACTATGGTAATTTGGAATGGTCTTTGCTTCCATTAGACTGGAGGAGGGGGGTTTTGCTTTAATGAGCCACCACATGGCCTGATTTCTTCTGCATTGCCATTGCCTGGCATGCCAATCTTCACTCGATCCTGGCTGCCTTATTACCACAGCAGCAGTTAAGAAGCACCCTCCCGCCAGGTGCAAGCACTTTAATAGGCTAGCTTCCTTTGTGCATTCCAGTTTATATCCTATGAGCAGGTATCTTTCTACCTTTGATAGTTGATCTAAAACCCACCCACATTACTTTGCATGGGGGGAGGGGAGGTGCCTTGTGCCAGCTCAGCAGGATTTTTCATGAGAATGTTATATATTTGCCCTTAAAATGCCAACTATCCATAACTTTAAGTAAACACTATAGACAACAAATGTGTTTGCTACTAAACTGATGTTTATGTAAGCTGTGCCCCGACCTTACTTGAGCTACGGAAATCCTTCAGCTTGTCTGTCCATGAGAAGGAGGATACGGTCCCACCCTACCCCAGGCCCTAAATTCTCACCTCTCAATCTGAGACAGGAACTTGGTTTCAAAGATTCCTCTTGTCTTGAGTCGTTCTGAGATGCGGCCACGGAAGAGCAGCCCACGCTTGGTGAAATCGATGAGGATGTTACGGACAATCTCGCCCAAATACATGCCACTGATCATTTTCTCAAACCTGCAATGCAGATAATGTGCATGGAGGTTAAGCAGGAAGGTGAGATGCCCAGCACATTAGAAAGTAGAGGGCATGCAGGTTCCCCCTGGTGGGAAAGGAAGTGCTATTTGATTCACTTGGGCAGGCTTCCTGGTATCTGCATACATTGACCCACAGCCTTCGGCAAAACTGACTACAGTGCCTCAGGCCCATGGGGTTCCCTGGGATCATCTCCATCTTCTGGGCTCATCTCCCTTCTGGTGCTTACTCCCAACTCCAAGAAGGAAAACACACTCAAACCCCATCTCCAAGAAAACGGCAGGATGCTGAGTCTTAATCCTTAACTTCATCAGACATTCAGCATGTTTTCTCTCCAAACTAATCATTATCACTTTACTTGAGTGCCAACTGGAGAAGCCCTGTCTTGGCCACCAGAACTGATGTGACAGCTCAGTGGCTTGAGGGCCTTTCGGCCCTCAATAGTGCCTTTATAAAAGCTGAGGCCCCCAGTTGCAACCAAGACCCCCATCCCCACTCCATCTTGTCCCACCCTTTCTTTCATTAATGACACTTATCTGGCCCCTAGAGGCATTTTCGTCTGTGACTTGTACTCTTGACCAAAGTATATTCTGCAGAACTATGGTCCCTGATTAATCCAATTAGGAAATACTACACACAACATCTTCCCAATGGGAAGTGTGCTCACAGCTCAGAGCACCTCCCCATCATGCTTTGTGAGACTAGGGCTGGCCCTTGTCCAGTCCTGACTACAGAGGATGTTACATAATGAATGGATGAAGAGGAAGAGACTCCTGTTTGCTTCCTGTTCCTCTCTGTTACACCAGCTTCTTTACCCTACTATCAGCAGATGACTCAACTGTCTTTCCTCACAGTCCCAGACCTAGGTTTTAACACCATCCCTTCCTGTTCTCACAGGCAGTGGTAGGAAGGCTGCCTCTGACATTTCCTAGTTCTGTGTTCCTCAGTTCCCCTTTACATCTTTTCATCCTTCTAAAACCTGTGTCACCAGTTCCCTTTAAGAAATGCTCCTCAGAACACAACTCTTGTTTTCCCAACTGGATTTTGAAGGTGTCATAGTCCAAGCGGTAGTACTTCCCGGATGTTATTTGAAAACCCTTGCCAAGGAAATTTCTTCTATTGACGTCTCAGAAACAGGTGTCCTGGGACTTGCTGTTGCAGAGGATCTGACCACATGCTACAGTGCAGTTGGGGTACATGTACCAGGACTCGCAGGCACTGGGGTAACTACCTCTGTTTGCCAGGGTTGAGAGAAAGCTCATCCACAGCCACATCAAATTCCGTGCGGAAGTCGTCCAGGCACCCGTTGTCCCCGAAGGCCCCCCACTCCATGTTGACACACATCCGGCCCTCCTCCCCTTCCACCAGCTCCACGTTCCGCATCTCCTCCATGTAGCAGGCGTTGCTGCCCGTGCCTGCCAATCACAAACACGTCAGGGCCTCACTCTGCACCGTCCCCACACCCGTCTGAGGCCATGGGTCACAGCGCAGGAAGGACTGCTGGGGCTTTACCAACAATGAGGCCGATTTCACAGTGAGGGTCTTCATAGCCACAGGTCATCATCGTCCCAACTGTGTCATTCACCACGGCGACCACATCCAGGTCAAACTCCTGAGAGGGCAAAAGCAGATCCCCAGTCCACCAAAGAACCACAACATGTTCTTTCAGACCCTTGCAAGGGAGACTGATATGTATAGAAAGTGTATTTGATACAGCCTGGCTCATTCTCACTTTTTGTTCAAATGTCACCTCCTCAGAGACCTTCCCCGGTTGTGCTATTTAGGAGTGCCCTTCTCCAGCCCACTCACTCTGTCCTCACCTGACTTCATGTCTCTTCACAGCTCTAAGGCACCTGACATTAGCTCATGGGTTTGTTTATAGTACCAGAGTTTGTTGTGGTCATTCCTGAAGCCCCAGTGCCAAGAGCAGGGCTCGACACGCAGCGGACACTCGGTCACCACCGAAGGACCACGCTAATTCTCCCCCTAACCCACGCAACCACACCCAACACTTCCCCACTTTTCGAACACGGGTCATTCTGGGCCTTGTGGCATGCCTCTCCCACCTCTCGCCGGTGAATGGCTTCCTTCAGCAGGGTGACCACATCCTCTCCCTCGCAGCCCGATGCCTTGAAGCCTTTAGTCCACTTGAGGAGGATGCTCTAAAAGTCACATAAGAGCACAGATGAGGACAGCAGAGGAGGGTTCCTGTGTCATTCCTGGGGCCCGGCTGTGCCTCTCGTTCTCAACCTCACCAGGTAGTACAGATTCCCTTTAATGACCAATCATCCCTCTCACAAATGATTGCATACCCCCTATGCGTGTGTTCCATTGTTTAATCCTCACAGCAAACTGGTGACATAGTTATCATTATTGTGCCCATTTTCTAGGTAACTGTGGCTCTGGAGTAACTTGCCCAAGGCCTGAAGCTTAGGGGAGAGGAGCGGGACTCACCCCCAGGCCAGCTGACTCCATGGGCCCCTAAGTACCACATCACTGTCCCTGCAGGGAGCTAAGTTCTATACAAGTGTTTCTTTTGCTGGGAAAAGCAGTTTGCTCTGCCCTGTCCTATATTCACATCAGAAGGGTCAGAGTCTGTCTCTTCATTGTCAAATTCCAGGATGGTGTGAACAAGTGCCCTGCTTGGGTGACAGTTGGGTGACAGCTAGGCTTCACGTCATCCCAGTGAGGGAAGCACTCTAGGCTCTTCAGAGTCACCCATAAGCCACTCGTCTTTAATGTGGCCGTCTGTCGTGTCACAGGGCCCCCTGGGGAATACACACATGGAGATTTTACATATGGGAGAAGTGTTTCGGTTATTGTCCCCTGGTTTCCTCTCTGCTGCTGGAACCCATCAGAAAACAGCATCAAGAACTATTGGGCCACCTCCCTGCAAGGCCAGAATCCATAAATGGACTGTGTGCTCACTACCCACCCTCTTTCATGGTTTCTCCAGGCCTTGCTCAGCCTCACCCCTGCTTGGCATTTCATGGCCCAGGAGTTTAGAGTCACAAGTCAACCTGGACGTGTCATGCTGTGTTCAGATCCCAGGAGATTTGGAAAAATAAGACATGATCCCAGCAGTGTCTTGGCTTACATACCTACATCCAAACAACTGTGTGCTCATCTCTAGCTGTCTTGCCTACAAATTAGCTTCACATCTCTAATGAAATTTTATATTTAGCACTTTCAAGTTTACAGAATGATCAAATAACATTATTTCAGGTGGTCCTTAATAATAAGACACGCAGAGAGGCCTGTGAAGCTGGGGAGACTTGCCCAGGGCCACGAGGTGGTCAAGGCAGCTTGGGGCTTCTGGGCCTCAGCACCTGCTGATTTTCCACTCAATAAGACAATCTTACCAGAGCAGATCCCGGCTCACAGACCAATTGAACAACAGAGAGAACGCAGCCTCTGTTTGATCTGCTCTTAATTTTCACAGTGCTAGATGGAACACGTACTCCCTACAGAAACTTAGAACGTAAAGAATGAAATCTAACACGATGACCTGGAATCTTACCATGCAGGTAGAAACAGTGAATATGTTGTTGGGTTACCTGATAAACTCTTAAAGATAGATACATGCTGGCATGAAAAGTAAGGCATGTCTATTTAAAAATATTTCAGCAGGAAAATCCTAGAAGCAAACACACTGGAGTCCTATGTTCTCATCTTCTGATGATGAAGGTATTTTTTGTGGGTTTCTATACTATAGAGATTATCTTTTTCTTAAAAAAAATTTTTTTTTTCCAACGTTTATTTATTTTTGGGACAGAGAGAGACAGAGCATGAACGGGGGAGGGGCAGAGAGAGAGGGAGACACAGAATCGGAAACAGGCTCCAGGCTCTGAGCCATCAGCCCAGAGCCTGACGCGGGGCTCGAACTCACGGACCGCGAGATCGTGACCTGGCTGAAGTCGGACGCTTAACCGACTGCGCCACCCAGGTGCCCCGAGATTATCTTTTTCTTAAAAACATTTTTGTTAGTCTTACCACCAGTTTTTTCCCACATCATTGAAATTTCTTCCAAAAACATTCGTTGCTGATACCCAGCAGTGAATGGCTCAGAACTTATTAACTATTTCCCAACTGTTGAACAATTGGGTTAGTTTCTAATGTTTTCATTATAATAAGCAATGTTTCATTAAGAAACATGTAAGTATTTATCTGCACGTTTGGTAATTCCCTTTGGTAAACTGATGTAAATGGAGAAGCCTTTGAAAACCCGGTGCATTGACACTGAGAAACATAATGTGAAAAGACAAAGGAATCAGAAAAACTGGGGAGAGGGAATTGGTATAAGCTTCCAGTGACAGGGTAAGTGAGTACTCAGGATGGGATGAACATCATGATGGCAACAGCAAGCACTGCCATAGGGTATATTAGAAAGTTAAGAGTAGATCCTAAGAGTTCTCATCACAAGGAAAACGAACCACTTTTATTCTTTTTCTTTTTTTGTATCTGTAGGAGATAGATAACAGATGTAAACTTATTTGTGGTGATCATTTCACAACATATGTAAGTCAAATCACTGTGCTGTACACCTTAAACTTATACAGTGTGCATGTTAATATCTCAATAAAACTGGAAAGGAACAGAAAAGTGAAAAGCAACACTGCACCCCTAACACTGGACAAATGGTGACACATGTTGGGAAATACTGGATTAGGCAAGGGTTTTTAGTGCACGACATCCTAAAACCTTCACTGTACTGGTGCACATGAATTTAACTCAGAGGGGAGGAGGAGGAAGCATTTACAAAACTCAGCTGAGCAACAGGAGGGTTGCTATTCCGGGGATCCTGTGGGAAATGCTGGCCTTTCTTCCCTACTGGACCAACCTCCCTGCACCTGTGACATTTCCCACCTATGTGCCCTCCTCCACACTGCCAGGCCTGCCTGCCTTTCTTCCCCATCAACTCATGCTTTGGACTTGGAAGATGATCCAAGTATTTTTCATGCCTTCCAGGTATGTGCTCGGGTAACATCACACTGCGCATCCTCGGGGCCATGGAACCCCATCAGCACCACGTTCCAAACAGCAGCTCATGCCTTCCTGAGCTTGCTTACATCACAGTTTGTTTGTAAGCACCTCAAGTAGGAATCATGCCTTTTGTACCCTGGCCACTCTGTCTACCACATACTGACCAGTTGTGAACATGCATGTGAGCTTCTAGAAGACCAATGGAGACAGAGGAACAACTGCTTAGCCAACAGTATTCTGACATCTAATATGCTGATAATCAATGCAGAATAAGCCCAAGCATGACCTACTCAGCTCTCCTACATTCTCAACACACCATGTCCGGGATATGTGAGAGCACCAGCTCTTTGCCCACCTGCTTCATTCCTGCATGGCAAGTTGAAAGGGAATGAAAAGCAAAGCTAAGACTAGAGAAGCACCAGAGCATCTAAACAACAGAAGATTAATGAAAATGTCCCAAGCCCAAAACAGGCCTCAGGAGCAGGTGAGCATCACTGAAAACATGGCTTTGGGTATCGGGAAACCAGAATTCAAATCTTGTCTTGGCTATTCCCAAGCCTTCTGATCTGAAGCAAGATACTTGGCATCTCTATAGACTTTGTTTTCCTTTCTGCAAAATGAGCATATGAACACCTATCTTACACAGTTGCTGTGAGCGTTAAGATAATGCACATAGGCAGCCTAGCACAGTGCCTGGCAGATAGTACTTTAAAAATGTTCGTTGCTAATATTTGGTCAGCATCATCATCATCCCTAAGATTGTTACCTACTTTACCTCTACCAGTTCCAACTGAATCATTCCCATCAACAGGCCCCTCATCATAACTGCTTACTCATGCCCTTCTTTTCCTCGTCTCAGCTCAACTTTCTGCCCCGCTCCAAACTCTGGCTGGTGGAGAGTCCGTAAAGCCCACAGGCAAGCCCTCTGGGAAGGCGGTTACCTCATCCAGGCTGTTCTGCTGGCAGGGGAAGGAGAAGGTGAAACCCAGAGGCAGGGACACGCCCTTCATGCCCATGTACTCAAGGAAGTCGGCGATGCACTGGACGATGTGGTCAAAGAGCTGCAGGGAGAAGACAGGCTCTGAGGGAGGGGCCCTGGCCAGGGCAGGCTACCCCCAGCAGCTCCTCTCAGGAGAAATGCAAGCTCAGGCACTAACATGAGTGAAGACAAGGCCAGGGCCCTGGCCCACCTAGCCTTCCCTGGGACCATGGCTGAGCAGAGAAAGCACTGTCCTCCAGGGTGAGAAGTGAACGTCTGCTGGGGTCCCCTCCCAGAAGCCACCTTGACTCACCTCATCCCCTGTGCCATGCATGACCTCCTGTGGGATAGAGTAGATCTTGTTGTGCATCTCCACTCCGCGCCTCTTCCCATTCCTCACACGCACCAGCAGGACCCGGAAATTGGTACCCCCAAGGTCCAAGGCCAGGAAGTCACCTTTCTCTGCAAAATAAACCCGGGAAGATGACGCACTGGGGCACAGCAGAGGGTGACAGTCTAAAGCACTTCCCCCTAATGGGGAGCTCTCCTGGCAGCCCCTCAACACCCTCAGGGATGATGGACTGTGTGCTCCACCTAACAGGAAAGAAAAGTAAGACCCCTGAGGGCCAGAGCCGTGCTGTCTCCTTAGCGGTCCTCAGATGAGTTCAGGTGGGTCCCAGAGGTCACAATGAGCTCTGCAGGAAACCAGAAATTGTGATACAGTATACTCAAAAATATCTAAACATGTCATTTGTGCTAAATCAAAGGCCACCTTATGTTAGCTTCTAGAATAGAGTAAAAAATAGCAGAGTTCAACTCTTTAAAGGAAATTGAAGGGAAATCTGTTCACATGAGAAAACCCTCCTTTGTTGGGCAATCATAAGGTGCTACGTGCCTCAAACATACTCCTCACGCAGCCCTCAGGCAGCCATGAGAAAGAGGCACTGCATTTCCCTCTGATGGAGGAGGGAGACCTGGCTGACCTAGGCTGAGTCACTCACTCAGGCCCACAGAGCCAGAAGAGGGTAGAGCAGGGACCAAGGCCCAGTCTTGGCCCAACTGCTACGCTGGCTTACTCAACGTCAGTTCTCTCCGAATTGGGAAAAGATCTCCATTTCTTAATTTGTAAGACCTAAACCACAGGTCAGCAATCTTTTTCTACAAAGGGTTGGGCAGTAAACATTTCAGGTCTTGTGAGCCACAGTCCCTGCTGCAACCACACAACTTTGTCATGGTGGTGCAGAGCAGCCATAAATAATATGTGGACAAATGGGCATGGCTGTGTATTAGGAAAACTTTATTTAAAAAAATAGGCAGTGGGCCAGATGTAGCTCATGGGCGTTAGTTTGCCAACCCCTGACCTAGGATTTATAAGAACTGGCCCTGGAACCAAAAACTCCTGGGTTTGAATCCCAGCTCTGCCATTTTCTAGCTGTGTGAACTTGGGCAGTTTTCTTAATTTTTCAGTGTCTCAGTTTTGTGCCAAGCATATTAGTTTATTAACAAAGTTGGGGCGCCTGGGTGGCGCAGTCGGTTAAGCGTCCGACTTCAGCCAGGTCACGATCTCGCGGTCCGTGAGTTCGAGCCCCGCGTCGGGCTCTGGGCTGATGGCTCAGAGCCTGGAGCCTGTTTCGGATTCTGTGTCTCCCTCTCTCTCTGCCCCTCCCCCGTTCATGCTCTGTCTCTCTCTGTCCCAAAAAAATGAATAAACGTTAACAAAAAAAAAAAAATTTTAACAAAGTTAATTACTAATTGCTGTTAACAGTTAAAAATTAAGTTTATATGTGTAAAGTGCTTACAGAAGTGTCTGACACATAGTAAGCATTCAGTAGGTGTTTATCATTATTACTATTCAGTTTGTAGCAGGGGAATGCCTTGCCTGAGCTTACTGAACACTAGAATTGCCTAGTGCTAGAGCTGAAAAAACATGTTCTGGCCCAAATATCCAAAGCCATGGCTAAGGGAGTCCTCCTGGGCATCAACACCATGAAACAGGCCCAGCACCGCGAGCCGGGAGGCAGCCTGCCGCATACCTGTGCCATCAGGGGTGGCACACACGTAGGTGGGCAGCATCTTGACGGGGGCAATGGTGTGGGTCTCCTTGCTCAGACCTCGCTCCATTTCTACCTTCATCCTCTTCTTAACCTCTAGCAGCTGCTCACGGTTCAGCTTCAGAGACTCCAGGGTATTCTGGCGGGCTCTGTGTTGGTCAGCCAGCCGGTAGGCCACTGCCGTCACCATGGCTGCCCCCTTGCCACTGCCATCCTCAGAACGCAGGAAACGGACGTCGCAGTCGGGCACCAGGCGCCGAACCGTCTTGTGAAGACGCTTGGCGAAACTGCAGTCACCAAAACGGGGTAAGACATGGGTGTCCGCGGTTAGGGTCAATGGTGCAAAGGACTCACCGCCTCAGCTCAAAGGCCGGGAGGCACCTGCAGGAGCAGATGCCACCCTGATCATCCTCTCCCCACTCTCCCAAGTCAGGGTCATCACCGTGTTAATTAAAGCTCAGCTATGCAACTGTGACCGCCCTTGCTGGGTGAAGGGAAGGACTGTTGTAGGAAGTCACTACCCACTGCACACAATCATAGTAAGTAATGTAGTAAGACCCTGTATCTCAGGCCAAACCCTTCTGAATCAGAATCTGCCTCTTAACAAGATCCTCAGGTGATTCATGTGCACTAGACTAGAAAACCAGGGAATGCTAGGCCTGAGACCTTCTGCATCAACCATTCAGTTAATGAAGGCCCGTTGACCTGGCGCTCCTATTAGATAAAAATGATTAGATAATGAGTAAGTACAATAGAGAGATGGCCAGGTCCCAACTGAAATTTGAATATCTTGGACACAAGGGATCCAAACATGGAGGGAAGGGCAGGATGAATTCAATACCCAGATCAGCCAGAGAGGCTGAACTAGGGTGTCCCCTGGCAGAAGACACAGTACCTGCAGAGCCCACCCAGAATCATGACAGAGTCAAAGAAACAAGTACAGAGAAACCCTAACTCCTAAACAGGAGGGTGGCAGAAAGAGCACTCCCCCTCCCCCGCCCCCCACCGCCAGCCAGGGGGGCCCTGGATAGAGCTGCAGTCATCGAGAGCCTTCAGAGATGGCTTGAACCCCTGCCAGGGACACACCTTCCTGATCCTCACATGCCCAGCTGGGAGCTAATTCTACAGAGCTCCTCAACTCCGCGTCCCTCCCCACTGTGCCAGAATGCAAACCAGAGTTGGCTGGGCAGTCACTAGGGTCTCTCTCAGGCCTGTCAGTGGTCTCCAAGTGCTCTGGGGGCCCTGTCACTATGGGTCCCAGCACACTGACTCACTGAGGGTGCTTCTTGTAGACAGAACCATCAACCCCAATGGTGGAGCGCAGCCTCTCCTCGCCCTTGTTCTCCTTGATGCGCCGCAGCACGGCTGCCAGGGTGGCTGCACACAGGCTGGCTGAGCGTGTGGACACAATCTGGCACACCCGGTGAGTGGCCACGCAGTCCTCCTGCGTCGGGTCTATGCCCAGCCGCACTAGCACCTCACGGGCCTTCCGGATGCCGTCCTTCTCCCTAGGAAACAGAAGGACAGTGTGTGGGCCTGTGTCCAACCCACTGTGGCCAGGGGGAGGGGGTATGTCAGCTGACAAGGAAACCGTTCATCTCCAGCCAATACCATCTCCCAGTGAGGGTAGAGAAAGGGGAAAACACAACAGAGCCAACATGAGGCTCATCTCACACACACACACATACACACACACACACACACACACACACACACACACACACACACACACCACACACTGCTCAAGTGCCCCTTTCTCCCACTGAGAAAAACTAATATTTTTTATTTTTTATGGGTACATGATGTAAGGACAAGGCCTTGCTCTCATGGCTTCACACATCAAGGGGTGTGTGTGTGTGTGTGTGTGTGAGTGCATGCTGTGTTTGCTTACCTAGGGGTAGACGGAACAGTGTCCCGTGGTGGACCCCACCCCATTTTCTCTCTGTGAAGCAGCCAGCTCATTGCCTTTCATGAGGGAGCAGGCACTGCTCTAATCTATGCGAGAGACTGTGCTAGAGTCTACTGCAGTGAGCTTAGCACTCTCCTCAGGGGAACTAAGTGCCTCACCAGTATACACCCTTCCATCCCCTCAGGGCTTAACAAGCAGGCACAATCCGCTCAAGAGTTTCCATCTGAAGGTATAGGAAACTGTTTCACTTCTCCCTTTAGCACCCAAATCCCCACCTCTCCATCATTTGGTCCCTGAAACGACAGGGCCAGCTCAAGCAACAAGTGGAAGTCTCTAGAACAGGAAAGTAGACCCAACTCTTTGGATACTGTTAACTGAAAAAACAAAAATCAGGCCACCCTCACTCCCAGCCATGTCGCTCTGGGAAATGCGGGCCTCAGATCTACCTATTGGAACTAAGTGGGTAAATTTTAGAGCAGGGCTCTAAACAGGGACCTCTCCTTCTGTTATGAAGAAGGTGTCAAGAGAGAGCCTTTTTGGAGAATCACCAACAGAGAAATAAATGTCAGAGCTTCTGAAGGGAAAGAAAGTAGATGCATAGGAGTCATCAGGGGGCTCCCTGGGAGCCTCCAGCATTCAGCCCGGCCCGACCCCCACCCATGCAACACCATGAGCCACTTAGGTAGTGCACAAGAGTGGAGACTATCTGGAAAGTGAAGTCAAGCTACAGGCCCGCCATGGCCCATGTTGAGCAAGGCCCTCCTGCTGTCCAAATCTGAAGGGTCAAGGGTCAGTGCCCCTTCCTCATTCCCCAACAGCCTGTCCACTCTTCTGGGGATCCAGTGAACAGAGAGAGAAGGACCAGGAAGCTTACCCTTCAATATCTGAAACGTCTTTGGTCTCAAAGTGGCCAGTGGCGAGGAGCCCTGGGCTGAGCTTCCCTCCAAAAAGCAGCTCCTCCTTGGCCATCTTCACCAGGATAAGTCTCACCAGTTCACCCATATACATCCCACTGATCATCTTCTCAAATCTGCAGGGAGATACAGACCAAACAATAAGTACATGTAAGCGGAGGCACAATGACATGTTAACTTGATGGCGCTGCTAGGAGTAAGATGTGCAGACAGGTGACAGCTCAGGGGAGGCTGCAGGATCAGGGACGTCTGGGCCATCTCTGTAGGCCAAGGGGGCCTTGAACTATGGAGAAAAAAGGCCTTTAGCAGCCAAACTAAACATCCAGGGGATGTGCGACATATTCTGGGACAGCCCGAATTTTAAATAAAGTAAGTTACATACAGTAAAAGTGACTTTACATTTTTTTTTTCTCTAGCCAGGAAATACTTTTCTAAGATGAAACTTTGTATAGAACCTCAATATTTATATACAAGAGGAAAAAAAGGTCAATAGATTAAATCAGGGGTGCAGGCCCAGCAACTCAAGGTCTCATACTGTCCTCCTTTTGCAAGATCCTTTGTGGATTTCTGGAAAACAACCCACAACCCCAGGGGTGGGGTGATGGGCAGGTTGAGCCAGATTAGGAGCTTTAAATGTCAGATGGTCTGGGAATCTGGGAGTGGGACATTTTGGAAGTCTCTGAGCAGGGAGGGGACCAGATAAACGCATGTTTTAGAAAGGCAGAGGCCCGCCCCCAAGCAATCGGCTAACTTATTTTTTCAACACTAGGTGATGCTGTTTTCTTTAGAAGCCAGTCTTTCCGGCTCAAATTGTGTCAGAGAAACTGAAGCTTCACCATTCTTTGTGGCAAAGAAGGCCCTTCCTTGGCATCTAATGATCCGGAGCCCAGAGAGGTGGCCCCCAGGGCCAGCAGACACTAACTAAGCTGGGCTCTAGTGAGGAAACCCAGAGCAAGAGTGTGGAAGGGACTCTGAAGTCACCTGGTACAACCCACCTGGTATGGCCCTCAGGAAGTGACTGGCTGAAGACCCAGGACAAGGTACGTAGAGCAGAACTGGAGCTAAGTGCAGAGCTCACAACATTGTTTGAGCAGAGGATTCAAGCACCAGCACAGGCACACTGCCTGGGGAGGCAGCCTGGCTCTAACACTAAGGACCTCGTGTGTCTGTCTGCCTCGACACCTTTTCCAAAATAGCTAGGAGATAGAGATACGGGAGGGGTCCAGTGGGGCTCCGAAGTGTGAGTGATTTATAAAAGCTTTCACTCCAGCTTTTTAAAAACACTTTGTTTCAGTCAACATTTAGAAAAATATTTGTTTAGGGGTGCCAGGGTGGCTCAGTCGGTTAAACACCCGACTTCAGCTCTGGTCATGATCTCACGGTTCGTGGGTTTGAACCCCGGGTCGGCTCTGTGCTGACAGCTCGGAGCCTGGAGCCTGCTTCGGATTCTGTGTCTCCCTCTCTCTCTGCCCCTCCCTCACTTGTGCGTGCACATGCGCTCTCTCTCTCAAAAATAAATAAACTTTAAAAAAAAAAGAAAAAGATTTGTTTAGAAACACATAAAGAGTGAGAAAAGTTCCTACTGGAGCCCAATAATGACCTCAGGGCTACCTTAGCTGACATTCTGGTAGGTTAGCCCAACCTTTGATTTGTCTAAGTCTGAGACAGTGGTGTGCTCCCAAGGCCGGGCTGGCAATTCTGTCTTCTGACCCTTTAAAGGGCATATGGCTCCTCAGAATGGCTTGGGTGTGCCTTGTTCTTAGAGGCAGACATTGAATAAATGACTTTTGGGTCCATAAATTTTCACCGGCCATGGCAGACACAGCCAGTGTGTGCCTATGAAAATTGCAAGTAAGTGGACTCATGCTTGGATACATGGGAGAAGCTTATGAGTTAAATAAACCACGCTTTGAAGAAGTAAGGACTCTCCCTGTAAAGAAAAAGGGTCCCCGTTGCTGAGCTGGCTTATAGAATTGGGCTTTCCTCCCCAAGCAGAGATCTATGCCAGCGGCTTTCCTGCAATAGTCATAGCAACATAGCATAGACCAGAGGGGGCCTGAATTGCTCAAAACATTTTGTAATTGCCTTCGGAGTTTACAGCAATCCCGGTTTCAAGATTGCTAATAGGGGACATTGGGCCAATGTTGGTGTAATAATGAGAGTGAAATACTATTTCGTAACAGTCAAAAGAAACTAAAAATCAAGTCTAGCCAGGCTGGAGAGTATAACACTCAGGGTGCAAAATGTTGGAGGCCCTCCTGGTCCTGTCCACCCAAGAATGCCTGCTGGGCCACAGGTCTAGGAAGCGGCCAAGGAGGCTCCTTAGCTGGCTTTTCCACAGGCCTTGGGTTTGCCTAGAGCTGGGACCGGAGACCCTAGGTCTCCATGGGGCCCAGCTCAGCCCGCAGGCAACTCTACCATATGCCTGAGTTCAGAGCCTCAGCCAGTGTTGAGGAGACAACCGTCTGGCCTCCTACTCTGGGCAATGGCAGAGGTGGAAGCTACGACAACAGCATTCAGAGACCCTCCCCCTGGCCACCTCAACATGACTTTTCTTCTGTGACTCACAGACTGTTTCTAAGGACAACTTACAAATTTAAGGTGGCAGAAAGAAGAGCAGGGCCAACACTTAGAAAAGGACCTTCTAAAATGAAAGCTCTAAAGGACGTAGACAAATTATTACCTACACTCTGGTTTGTCTACTTGTTTTATCTGTTTTAGAGCCCTCTCAGCAATTTATAGTCACAATGCTTGTGATGAGCACACCATTCCCATAACCAGTGGCTGCCCCAGCAACCTTTTGGGGATATAAGACTAAAGCAAAAGTGAGAACCACCCCCACCCCAGCCCTGGCCGGATCCCACCTCAGCTCCTGAGCCCACACACCCCCCACAAGCCCGCCACACAAAAGGGGTGCTGCTCACAGTTGCTTCCCAGGGTTCAGGGAGCCCATGTCGATCTCCTGATCAAACTCAGTGCGGAAGTCATCAAGTGTGCCGTCGTCCCCAAAGGCCCCCCACTCCATGTTGATACACATCCGCCCCTCGTCGCCCTCCACCATGTCAATGTGGCGCATCTCTTCCATGTAGCAGGCATTGCTGCCCGTGCCTGGCCAAAACAAGGGACTGCTCAGCACCCACCTACACCAGCCTCTCTCCAGCCCCCAGCTCCCTCTTACTCCCCCATCCTGAGACCACCTAGGGTGGTTGGGATTCCCCAGTGCAGGCTCCTGGAGTATCCCAACATGGTCCAGTCCACAACCACCTCCAACCCACAAATCCTGGCTCAGCCCTCTGAAGTGACTGTACCACTCTCTTCTAATATGAATTACAAAGAGTCATGCAGGCCGTGGAGCCCTCCTCCCTTTCCAGCCCCCACACCCATTGTTCACTCACCCACAATGAGACCAATCTCACAATTCTGGTCATCATAACCACAGGTCATCATGGTCCCAACTGTGTCATTCACCACGGCCACAATATCAATATCAAAGTCCTACAGGGATAAAAGCGGAGCTCTGACCTTCACCATCACAGAAAGGTTGCAATTGTGAAGATGGAGATAAAGAGCAGCAAGGCACAGAGCTCAAGTGCATTAGGGCTGCCTCCTTACTGACCCTACTTGAAGCCAAAGAAGGTTAGAGCTGGGAATTGGGCTCAGATGCAGTCTGACAGCAGCAACTCACTCCCCACCCTGCATGTCCTCACCATGGAAGCCACCGCCCTGCAGTCTAGTTTACAGACACCACTGCACTCACAAGAGCCCACTTTGTCATTGTTGTCCCCTTCTCCTTCTCTCTCTTCTTTTCTCTCTCTCCCTCCCTCCCTCCTAACATCTGTGACCAGGCCTTTATCTTGTTCTCTCTCTGCCTCATTCCATCCTAATGCCAACATCATCCCAACCTTCTTAATTGAAAATGATATTCAAGTCTTCTTCAGGTTAAAGACTGAAGGGTTTTTCCTGTACTGAGGCTAAGATTATTTATCCATCGTGATAATCTGAAGACCCAGAAGCATCTGATTATATGTAAGATTATCAGTGTGGCAATCATTTTGCAGTATATGGATGCCAAATCATTATGAGGCATGTCTTAAATTTAGCTGTATGTAAACTATATCTCAATAAAACTGGAAAAAAATTAAATCTTATTAGGTAAACCTAGCAGAGAAAGGAAGAGAAAACCTCTCCTTAAGAACCACAAAAAGGTTCTCATGCTGATTTGGGAACAGACTAGGAAAGATTTCAGAGTGGACCCATAAGAATGTAAAGAGCCTCCAGACCCCAAGCTCCTGCCTCCCCAACTCACCCCTCTCCTCTGGATGGCCTTCCGGATCAGAGTAACCACGTCTTTGCCTTCCACGCCACTGGACTTGAACCCCTTGGTCCAGGAGACCAGGAAACTCTGGAAAAGGACCAAGGAATGAACACTGACCACACTACTCAAACAGCCATTAGTGAGTGGAGACCTCTGCCATGGAGCTAAGCTAAACTACAACCGTGCTTAAATATATGTACTACTTCCTGACTAGCCTAGGAAAAAGAAACTGGGGCCTCATCAAAGACCCAGAAAGAAGATTAAATGAATGATTCCTTCATGACCTACTGCCCCCAAGAACTGAAAAGAACAGGCTATAGAAATGCCAAAATCAGATACTCTCATCATTAACTCCCCAGGCATCTTTCTTCCAAGGATCTTTATTATGATACTCTAGATCAAAGGAGTTCCTAATTTCTCATTCCTGTTTCCCTACAAGGGATAAAGATAATGTACTTCATATTGTTCTTTGAGGGAAGAGTGATAAAGACCCTCCCCCCCGCACTTCTGATACTTCACCATCCCCCCCCCAGACCTACATACACTCACCCAGAAGGACAGAACTCTTAACACTCAAACCTCATCCAAACAACCATCAGAGCCGCCTCTAAAACCACAGCAGCAACTGGCTCAAAGTTCATCCCAGACCTCCCAGCCCAATGAATGAAGCAACAAGGGTCTAAAGAACTCATCTTACCTCATCTAGCTTCGTTTGGACACAGGGGAATGAGAAAGTAAAACCCAAGGGGAGCTTCTTGTCTTTGATTTGTAGCTTATCCATGAAGTTAGCCAGGCATTCAGCAATGTGGTCAAACAGCTAAGGGCACACAACACAAGAAGATGAGAAGGGAGGGAGAATAACATGGAAATTAAAAGCATACATACACATTGGGCTCGGCAAGGAACTAGCTGAATGTGTGCAAGATACGTATCCCTTCTGAAGTCTTAATTTGCTCACCTATAGAATGAGGGTGACAACTGTACCTGCCCTCAGAGTTACCACAGGGATTAAATGAGTCACACATATAAGGACTTCACAGCAGTTAGTGCTGATTAAATACTGTCTTCCACTCAAACTACTTATCCAAACCACTGTCAAAATAACCCTGTGAGGCAGGGGAAATCATAGCTAAAGCTAGTCAGAAAGTCATCACATACCCTGGGAACAGAACATCCTTTGGTGGCTCTGCCAGAACACTCCTTGTCATGGGTGCACAGCTGACTGTCTCAGAAAGGACAGCCCATCTTACTGCCAAGAAGTATTCTAGCATCCCTGTCTCTTGTGACTGGGGAGGGAATGGGACATTCTCTGGTTGGCATTCATAGAATGAACTTAACAAAATAATAATAATAATAATAATAATAATAATAATAATAACAATAACAACAACAACAATAACGCATATTTTTCTTCCATTCTAGAAAAGTAATTTCCTAGGAACATTTCAAAGAAGTATCTTTGTTTTTTAACTTCAAAATGAAAAACCCAGTAAGTCCATGAAGAGCACTGAAGAATGTATAGGGTTTTACGGATGGGCAGCCTCACAACTGTGACCATGCCAAGCAGGACCCACAGCTTCTAAGAAAAAGCTGTATTTACAATTATCCAGGCTTTCGATCAGTCCCAAGGCCCATAGCCCCATAGCTTCCTTCTTGCCCACTGAGCATCCTCAAAGAGAGGTAGTGACTCCCTCCAGATGCTTAGAGGCTGAGGCCAGGGGCACTCTGGTACAAAAAGTAAGCAGAGGCCAAAGAGACTAAATAGGTGCCACGGGCCAGGTTGACCAGATGGCAAAATCTAAAAGCCAAGGGGGATGGATGAAAATATACCTTTTTTTTTCTAGACAGAAGCAAGGAAGATCCCACTAAACCAGAGGTTCCCAAAATGTGGTCCTAGACCAGCAACAACACTACCATCATACTCTAAATGTAAATTCTGAAGCCCAAACCTAAACCTACTGAATCAAAAATTGCAGGGGTGAGGCCCTCCAGGTAATCCTGAAGCAGGTTTGAGAACCACTGCCCTAAACCCCAAAAAGTATTTGCATTTACAAAGGAATTAAGAGGTTGCAGGTGGCAGGGTAGGCTGAGAGGCCCACTGGCTCCCCAGATGTCTGGGGTATGCTCAGTGGGAGTGATCCAGGGAGACAGGCCAACCCCATCTAGAAGGTGGCCAGCTCTAACAATGTCCTGCATTGATCCTGCCCTTCTGTCTAATCACATGCAAAATTAACCTCAGCTGATGCTGAAACTCTCAATCTCCAAACCAAAACATTCTCAAGAGCAAACAGATTGGGCAATGACAAACCTCTCTCACGAAGAGGATCACCAATGCACAAGTGCTAATTACCTTGAGCAGAAGCCAAGTATTTTAATATGACATAGGGTTTTTAGATAGATACTCAACAAGTTCTGATTTCTGTTGGGAAGTTGATCAGAGACAAAATTTACAAATCACCAACTCCCAGCACCTTCTTCCTGGTACTCTAGTCATCAGAGATGAAGAGGGGGAGCTTTAGAAGGGGGGAAAAGCAAAATGGTTTCCCTCATCCAGCCCCGATCCACTGCTCCCTTTCCAACTGTGTTGCCAACGAGGAATGGCAGTGAAGAGGCACTAAATTATATGCTGCCTGATACAGTAGCCACTAGCCACCTGTTATCTTAATCACTTAAAATGTTAAAAAATTTAATAGTTACTTCTTGAGTCACAACACTAGCCATATTTCAAGTGCTCAATGCCACTAGTAGCTAGCTAGTGGCTTCGATATTGCACAGGGCAGATACAGAACAGTTCTACCATTGCAAAAAGTTCTACTAGACAGTACTTGGTTAAGCAAGAAAGAGCAGACCATCAGTTTCCTTAATTGGAAAACTATCTCCTTTTCTATTAGCTGATGATCTAAGGATAAGATACTGGGAGAAAGAGCTAATACCTTCCTGCCATAAAAAGTCTCAAAGGGCATCATTTCATAAGGTTAGAATGGTTTCCTTTTCCTTATTGGTCTCAGAATCTGTTCACTCCCCTTCCCATAAGATACACTTTAAAAATCTAAAGTGGCCACTATTACAATTTGCAATTCACTGCTCTCAAGTGCAAGTTTATGTGCCTGAAGACAGATTTTATCCAGGAACCCACACTGTCCAGGTTGACAGATCCTCAGAAACCTTTGCAAGTTTAGGGTTTGGTGATTTGGTCTTGGTTTTAATGAAACTTTACGTTTAAAATCCATTTGTTCTCCTCCCAATTAAAAGACTGATACCTACCATCCAAAAAAAAAAAGGATAAGGAAAATATAGGGAGAAAAAAAAGCACCAGCAATTCCACCACTAAAATATCCACTATAAATTTCGTTCCAATCTTCTTACCAACTGGTTTCTGCTTCAGGCATATAGTATTCTTTCCCTTCCTTAGGGTGAAATAAACACCTGTATTTTCTTCTAATTTTCTTAGGTTTCATTTTTATTTAGCACTTTTCCATTTATTCAAAACTTTTAAAATATCACAATAGCTTTATGTTTCTTCCCGGTGGATCTCAGATTTTTTTTTTTTTTTTTTTTTTTTTTTTTTTTTTTTTTTTTTTTTTTTTTTTTTTTTTCAAATTTGGACTAAACATTGTCTGTATGTCCTGGAGCTATGTGAGAGCTCAAATCTCAGTCTCAAGGATTTTGCCTCCCTTGTCCAACCCCAGCATTAAAACAAGGAAAGCAGATTTACCCTCAGAGCTGTACCCAGGGACAAATAAAGAGTCTAAAAGTATCTCCCCCACATGATCTACTTGTGGTCTGAAATTTCCTTCTGAGGAGGTGGCCCAGTGTGGTGAGAACCATACACTAGGCCCCACCTCTTCTAAACTCTAAGGCCTAAGAAAAGGTGACCACACTGGAAGTGCATCTTATTGGATTTCATTTCCTCCATTCACTCTTTTATTGCATACACGCTGTGTAGAAAATACAACAGGAATAACCACTGCTCAAGCTGAGAGTGATCCCTATAGCAGTGCTATCATCCAGGAATGTCTTCAGTGACTGGACTGAGAGAAGTTGAAGGAGCAGGAAGAACACCCCAAGGAAGGTTCTTGCAGAGCAGCTAAAAGGGGAGACCAGGTTCCCTGGACACCCAAGAGCAGAAAATAATGCTGGACCCGTGGCTGATACCCACCACCTGGCCAGATACTTCTGGTGTGGTGGCAGTGAGAGTCCCCTCTCTAGAAGGGATCCCCTGGGGGAACTCTTGGGAGGGACAGCCCCCAAAGGGCCTGCCCAAGATTTCTTGTCTGTAGGAGCACCAGCCCCTTCAGGGGGCACCTCCTACTCTGGAAGCAGGGCAGGTAGTCGGGATCTAGGACCACCATGTTGCCTAATTCCAGGAAGCACCACTCACATGGACCACATCGTGTGGCCTACCAAGTGGACAGAGCCCCCTAGAGTTGTGCAGATGCAGGTTCTAATGTCATCAATCGGGCTTTGTGTTGTGCCTCTGGTCCCAACCACCCCTATGATCTAAAGCCAAGTCATTCACTCAATCTTTTAAAACGCAATTCCACATCTATAAAGCAGATAACATGAACACTCAGCCTCACAGGGCCAGCATGAGGACAAAAAGAGGAAATGCATACAAAAAGCTTTTGCTCAGCCTGACACACAATGGGTCATCATGTGTCAGCTCCTCCTCCTCCTGACAGTCACTCATCCACTTCAACCCACTTATGACCTTCTGTGAGGGGTGGGGTGTGTGACCTGGTGGTCCAGCTGTACTGTAAGCCCCGGAGGGGAGAGGCCAGGACTTTAATTCCCAGCAAGGATGACTGCCCAATGCATAGTAGAAGCTCAATATATGTTTGGAGACTATCACAGTGGCAATTCCATCCTTGCTGCTTTTTTTCTGGCTGTTACTGAGAGGATTCTTTCTTGGATTTCACATTTCTTCTGCATTCACTCCTTTGATTGTTTAGATGCTCTAGAAGCCACAAAGATATGGGGATGACCAAGCAGGATTTGGGGCAATATGTCCACTGCAGTGCCAGGTGGGACAGACTGGATTTTGATGCTTTCTCAATAGGCTTCCATCCCTGTGTGCATCCTTCTGTTTTAGACAGTCAAGAAGAAAAAGAGCAAATAACCACAAAGGTAAAGGGCCAACTTCCATTTTCATGTGATGCTACGGTAGCAAGTATACACCAAAGAGGGCTGCAGAATGACCACAGTGGCAGGTGGCGGTGTCAAACCACAACTGTGTCTTCTGACTTGCTATTCAGCGGCATCACTGCCAATCACAGGCGTCCGGCAGCGTTGGGCCCAGCGTCCTGACAGCAGACTTTCATCGGTAACCAGCCCACGCAAGCAGACCTCAAAAGACATGGCAAATCAAAACACCACCTGCTATGGTACATCCGGACCCCAGGGCCTCATTCACATGTTCCCTGCTCTCTGGCCCGCATGCACCTCTCCTGATGGAGGCGCCCCACTCAACCTCCAGGCATAGAAAGGGATCACCAGGCAGACATACGCCAGGAAACCTGAACCTTAGTCAGGGTCTCCTTCCCCCAGACAGAGGAAGAATAGAGTCTGCTCCCGTGGGGCCCAGAGTCCCAGTGGCCGCTCTGAGAGAAGGGTCATACCTGGGTGCCGCTGCCTCGCATGAGGTCCTCAGGGATGGCATAGATCTGGTTCTCCATCTCAACCTTCTGGAGCCCATTGTCTGTTACTCTTACACGAAGCACACGGAAGTTGGTCCCCCCAAGGTCCAGAGCCAGAAACTCTCCATGTTCTATAGAGAGAGGAAAGGCCACTATTAGTTTAGGAAAGACAAGATCTTCACAGAGACCAAGACTCAAAACCCATGAGTCCCTCCATAAACACTGGTCATCTACCAGTGATGGAGTGGCCAAGGGGTCTTACTTTTTTCCATAAACAATTATGATGATCTGATTCTTTTTCTTAATGCACCTTTATATTACTTTTAGAATTCACACAATGAGGGGTGACTGGGTGGATCAGTCGGTTAGGTGTCTGACTTCGGCTCAGGTTGGGATCTCAAGGTTCGAGAGTTCAAGCCCCACATCAGGCTCCATGTTGACAGCTCAGAGCCTGGAGCCTGCTTGGATTCTGTGTCTCCCTTTCTCTCTGAGCCTCCTCCACTTGCGCTCTGCCTCTCTCTCTCTCTCTCTCTCTCTCTCTCTCAAAAATAAAATAAACATTAAAAAATAAAAAATAAAAATTCACACAATGACACAGCCTCACATCCAATGATAGGCTACCCACTCCCTCACAAGAGCTAACTATTTCCCAGGGACTTTCAGCCAAGTCCCCATCAAGCTCAAGGGGCCCATCAAGCTCCGTACCAGGAGTCCACGCCTCAGTTTTGCTCTTCGTGCCCCAGGACACCCAGCACACTGCTATAGGCCTATGGGCCCCTGGGTCTTCAGCCAAATTGTGGTCCCCATACAAAATTTACTTTTTAATGTTTGAATACAATGATAGCAATATCCTATGGCAGGATAAGAGGGTCATGTGATGACGCGAATGGGATCCAATGGCTATAAATTAAGAGGCCTAGCAAACCAGCCAATCAGGTGCCCCCCAAAAAGATCCCAGGCTTATTAGAATGTGAGAGAATGCTGACCCAAGGGCATGTAAGACAAGAGTCAGGCCACTCAGCTGATCCACGGAGGCAGGCTACAGAGCGGGGATAAAGGGGGGACAGGGAGACTCCACAAACACAAGTGGGTCAAGATCTTCAGGTGTCACCAGGAAGGCACAGTCCCCCCTCCCAGGAAACGAGCAGTGTCGACAGGAAACATCCAGATTCCAGACAATAATACAGCTGGTTGCAGGGACACGCTCCATTGTATGGCACAGAACAAAAGTGCTGAAGAGGCACGGAGGCCAGAGCCAGGGCTGGGGGCTGGCAGGGCAGGCAAGAGCTGGGGGAGGTGGGCTCACTCCCTCAGCAGCCTCCCCCACAAGCAGTGGTTCCACCAGTCTTCCACTGCCCTGCCCCACACCTTCTCGAAGGAAACAGAATTATTTCCTAGGGAATTCACTTATTGGCATATTTGTCAACACTCAGCCCATTTCCAGGTGGGTGACAGCCACTTAAGTACAGCAGAATGGATTGGGAGGGGCAGGAAAAGCTCTGACTGAATGAGCCAACATGGATCCATTCTGTGCCCAGGCCCTCTCAACAGCAATAACTGTTTGGCCCTGAGAAAAGCTACTTCTGCCCGGCTCCCTGAGGGCACAACCCACAGCCTAAGAGCACACAACTGTGGTCTGGGAGTAGCAACATACAGAGCCTGGCTCTGGAGCCCACGTTACCTGTGTTAGAACTCTGGCCATGTTGGCCATGGCAAGTCCCTGAGCTTCAACTGCCTCATCTCTGAAATGGGAACATCATAGTTCAGGTGGTTGTTATGAGGGGAAAAACTAGACACTGTGCCTTAAACACCCAGCACAGTGCCGAGAACTTAGGACACACTCCGTAAGTACTAGAAACTTTCCATCCAGGCCTCCACACACTGTCCAACCCCCACACCGGCGTCCCCCAGGCCCACTGTTAGGGCTGCCTCTCAGACTGAAAAGCAAAATCACCCTCACCAGCGGGGACAGAAGGAACCTGTCCAAGAAAAGCCACTGGAACCTGCCCCAGTGACTTGAGCATTCCTCCTCTGGGGCGCTACTTTTCAGTCCCCTCTCTGGCATCTGGAGAGCCTCCCAACCCCACCAGCTACAACTGTTAAATAGCTGGGGCAACATCAACCCCACCTGGGGTGACTCTGCCCCTCTCGTGGCCATGGGCGACTTTTCCAGGCACTCCAGTTCTGAGCCTCCCCTGGTAGTGGGAACCCAGCCAGACTGCAGGAAAAGCTATGTGGTGGTTGTCATGGGGGATGAAAAGGAAAATCAAAGATGAACTGCCTGCATCAGCACTCTGTAGCCTAGGATGCATGCAATGCGCTGAATCGGCGACCACGGGGGTCATGATTCAAGGCCAGCCCAGCCTCCGTTCCCAGGAAGGAATGTCATCCCTTGCTTTCTTTTCAGACTCTGCCGGAACAGACATTCCTCTGCATCCCTCCTCCCCGGCACCCCTTCTGCAAACACATGGGATCACAACTACCACAGCCAAGGACTGTACTCCTTCCAGGGTCTAATGTCTCTGAGGCAGACCCAGCACCAGGACTCCTGGAGCTAAATCCTAAGGTGACCTCGTGGGACAGTGGACAGACCCTTCCTAGTGCTCACCCCACACCATGCGTGAGAGGCTCCCACAGAGCAGTGGTGAAGGGCTGGGCCTTCAGAGATGGGCAGACAGGCTTTGTTTTAAATTCCAGCTCAGCTTCCTCACTACCTATGTGGCCTCTGAGCATGTCACCTCACCTACAGAACATGGCCCCTAATGCTGACTTCTCCCAGGGGTTGTGAGGTGGACATGAAATACCAAACACACTATGCTCAAATATGTAGGTTCACAGTAAACCATCAATAAAACTACTGTTCTATTCTTTTGTTGATTATGTAGTTCTTCTCAGGCCCTCCAATCCCTACCTACACCTACTCAAGTGGCTCAAGTCCCACCTCCACCGTGAACCTTCTAGGACATTCCAGAAGCCGAGAGCAGACAGAGGAGTGTATGATGGAGCATGAAGGAGCATCACATCTATGGGCCTGGGACCGTCAGACTAGACAGGGTGGGGGTGGGAGCAAGGCTCTAGGGCCGGAAAACATGCCCACAGTAGGTTTCTTAAAGTGCACAGCCATGTGACAGAGGACCCAATAAGGTCCAGAGAAATCATTCTGCTGAATTATAGCTGGTAACATATTTGAGGCAACATATTAAGAAAACATCTCCTATTGCATTTGCTCGTTGATGGTTCATTTGTTAAACAAAATGTCTGAATACCAACCGGTTTATACATGAGACCATCAGGTCAGAGGTAAGGTTTCTTTCATTGTTGAGCATGCTGTTATGTCTGGAAAGCAATTTAACTTTCTAAAAATAATAAAATATGAACATCTGATTTTTTTTCTAAAAAAGCTCAAACAGTACAAAAGTGGGAAAAATAAAAAGCAAATCTCTTTTCTTCTCCAAATAATCACTATTAATGTTTCTTGGGTGTCCTTAGGTACATTTATTTTATAAAAACAGTGGAGGCTGTTAACAGACACATTCAAAGAAAGGGGTTGGAATTGCTGGTTCTAAGGATGTTGTGTTTTTAATTCGGAAGACATTGCCTACAAGTTCATGCCTAAAAGTTCTCAACAATTTCCACACAAACCAACAACTAAGTTTTGTTCTCACCAGGGTCTCATGTTATGTGGCAATTAATCTTTGCCAACTTCTTTGGTCTAAGTGGTATCTCCTTTTTTTAACTTGGTTTCCTTCTTTTGTGTAAGGTTACACTTTTTGAATTGTTAACTGTCCTTTGGAATTCCTTGTTCTGTGAACTTTCTAGTCACATCTTTTGCCTTTTTTTAAAATACATTCATTATTTTCTTAATAGCCTAAAAGAGCTCTTTGTATATTAAAGAAAATAGTTTTTTGGTTGTATATTTATAATTATTTTTTCCAGTTGGATATCTGTCTTTTCATTTTATTTGCGGCATTTTTGGCATGCAGAAACTTTTTAATTTTTATGTTGTCAAAGTATTTGTGGTTTCTGGGTTTTAGGTTTGGTCCATAGAAATTCTGAAGATTACAGTAGTAGCCCTCCCTTTCTAACACCCCCCAACTCCTCCTAAATGTGGCCACCACCGCTGCTAAAATAAAGGAAGTGAAGTTCCACTTGAGGTTTATTTGAAAGATCAAATTAATCTTCTGTATTTCTTTGTTGTTGTTGTTGTTGTTGTTGTTGTTGTTGAAGCTCCCCCACCCCATCCATCGCTCACAGTAGGCACATTGCTAGGGGCACCCAGCTGCTCGCCACATGGCCACCATTTTCCCATGGCCACCATTTTCGTGTAAATTGGCCCAGGTGGGAGAACCCCCTTCATAAAATTCAGCTGTGGAGAATGTGGGCATTGATCCCACTACTTCTCACATGCTAAGCAAGCACTCTACCATTTGAGCTAATTTCTCAGCTCCCGCTCTACTTTTTTTAAGGTGATTTTATAGCAAAATGAAGACAGAACCCCGTCTTCATCTCTCTCGTCCCTGGGACAGAGTTCAGACTTCATCATTGGCATCTGGATGACTGTGGTAATGAAACAATGGAAAGGCAGAGGCAGGTATAAGGGAGATTGAGTTGACTGAGAGCCCAACACGTAGGTGTTTTTAATGGAAGATAAACTAACATTTGTTAAGTGATGGTCACTTTGTTTATAAGCATTAGCTCATTAATTACCTCAGCAACCCTATGGGGCATTAAAATCCCAATTTTCCTGATGAAAAAACCAAGACTCAGGTCAAGTAACTGAAACCAAGATTCATAATTCAGGTCTGGTTCTCTAGCAAAGTTGTCTATTGTGATGAGCTAGGAGGTTCCTTCATGGGAAAGTTGTAAATCCTCAAATAAGAAATTCTTCTTTAATAATGTCAAAAGTATATAATGCCAGAGGTCACCAGCAATCTCCAAGCTGGCCTGGGTGTCAGAGGAAGTGATACTGCAGTTCATAAATTGAGTCATTTGATTAAGGTCACACAGGGATAAATGACTGCTGGGTCCATCTGACCTCAGAGCCCGTGCCTATCCCACTGCACCATACCCATGTCTCTCGTTCCTGGAAGCTGAGGAGGACCTGACACAGAATCCAGGATGAGGCAAATAA